TCTTGTAGACCACATTTCTACTTCTTCAGTTGCCGCTCCACTCTTTGCCACCCTGTGTGTGTCTGTGTTTTTGTCTCTTTGCCGCTCCACTAACAACACCACTTACCTAGCAACCTCCTGCTCTTTCTCTCTCACACTCTCTCTCTCTCTCTATCTATCAATCTATATCTCTATATCTCTATATCTATCTCTATCTCTCCATCTTTTGCTCTGTCCCTGAGTTTGTTCTGAAGCGTATGTGCCGTTTTATCTCGCTATTCTGTTAGTACGTCACTCTGCAGGCACGCATGTATGCGTGCAGACTCACACGAACCGGCGCTTTCTGACTCTGCGGAGCAGCAAAGATGTTGACCCACGGTCCGTTGCTGCGTGCCCACGTCGGCAGTCTTGCCGCCGGTATGGCGGACCAGGGAAGCCAGACCAGATGCGCCAGATACCTGTACATTTCAGAACTTGGGAAGTGCAAACCCAGCGGTTACCGGCGCTAGTTGTGCCTTCTTCCCGAGTGAGGGCTTCGGACGATGAGCAATCACTTCCGTTAAGCCTCATTCGACCCCTTCCCCTTCGAAGATAACACCAGATGTGTGTATATGTTTGTGAGTGCTTTTTGATGGTTGTTTTTATATGGCTATTTTTAGCTGCACAATTTTTGGCATTTTCTGCAGCATTTTTCCTCAACCCTTTCACCCCTTTATACCCTCGACCATGCCACCTCGAACCCTCCATCTCCTTTGATGCCCCTTTGAACTGTGCATCGACTGGCTTTTTGTCTTTTTAAAAAGTCTTCCAGACTCACACTGACTCATATTTTCTGTAGTATTTTTAGCTCTGAACTGGGACGTCATAGCATTTCCGTTAACTTTTTGACGCGTTAGTCGCCCCCACCCCCTCGCCCCCAACGGAGTCGGGACGTAAATGAGACCAGGACGCGCCTGCAAGCCCGCCTGGGCCGGCAGACTTGTTCGCTTGGGCCCTTCCAGACTTTCATCATTCCCCCTCTCCTACAGCAGACTTGTTGCTCTCTCTCCTCCTCCTCTTCCTCTTCCTCGTCCTCCCACCTTCGAAACGCGATCGAGCCTCATCAACCCGTCTCAGAAATGGCCACTCCTCTTCCCCACTATAGCGACTCCTCTCCTCTACAGTTCATCA